GGAAACCACAAACTCTTCCTGCGTCTACTGGGACATGTCAAAGTATGTATGATAAGACAATTATGCATTTATGAACCGTGCAAATTGATRACTTATGAAAAAGATTACACCCTTGGCATAAGGATACTAGTAAATATATAACTGTACACTTAGCCTTACCATCGTTGGTAGAGAGGACTCCTAACTATGACCTTACTTAGGTGCATTAAAACAATGGGTCAACTAAAACGCTGATTGATTTGTTTCARTTTGTACGTGAGTGCATCCAAAMGAGGCTTAGGACGTATCTGAATATGTTTATAGTATTTATGCAAAGGTCTACCAAAATGATCCTCGCAAAACAATAGTATTTTTCTCACTCGTTTGTTGTTCATCATGTCTTCTAGAGAGGCAGGATATTGGTCAACTAATGGTTGCTTTGTCAACACCACCAACAGTACRCACACGGTCTGTCATTGCTATCATCTGACAAGCTTTGCTGTTCTTATGAGTGTGAAGGGAGACACGTCGGTACTTATTCAGGTATCATCTTTCTATCAGTCTATTTGTCTTTTCTTCTGTATGTTCTTCTGTCTATGAGTCAGTCAATCTTTCTGTCAATGGTTTTGTCTGTCTGTCTGTCTGTGTGCCCTCATCTGTCTGTCTGTCGGTCTGCGCTTTTGTCTGTCAGTCAATCTTWCTCGTATACTGTGAATCTGTCTGTCTGTCCATCTGTCTGCGTGTACGTCTGCCTATCTAACTGTATGTCGTTCCCTCGTCCTTCCAACTAGTCGTCGYTCCGTTTCCACCCTGTTTGCTCATGCTCTCATGTGTCTTCTTTTCCCTGTAGGGCCGACACAAGATAGCTCTATCGTTAATCACCTACATCGGGGTGGTGTTATCAGTCACAGCTCTCTGCCTCACCTTTGTTACATTCTTATCATTCAGGTATATTAGYTTTAATTATTCTGATACTAAAGATATTGGGGTCGACTTATGGAGGTGATTGGCCGGTCATCRGAGGTGTGGAAGTCAGAAACAATCGATCGGTGGTGCGTTTGGCTATTATTATGGTCGGTTAGAGAAAGTACGGTCGATTACGTGAGGCTAGCTATTCTTTATAGGTTTGTTGAAGCGCGAAACGTTAATGGTGGTCTTGTAAGGAAGGTGGGGTAGATAATAGCTCAAAGTGCAGTCGAATACAATGGTAARATCCTCAAATCAGGAGACAAAAATGTTGAGAAAATTATTTTTTTTGAATACTTTTCTTGCTCAAAAGATTCTTGAAGTCTTCCCGTACTTTCATCCATTCCAATCTTGCCTTATCGTTGATTCTCGCTCAGCTTCTCTTCTTGTTCGGCATCAACAAGACGCAGATCAAGGTCAGTAAACCTCCGATTCATTATTATTTCATTCCTGATATCCATTTCTGATATCCATACTTAACACGAAAGTGAGGCTTGTACTGACATGATCATTTGAACAGCTTGTTTGTCAGATAATTGCGGGTGCTCTTCACTACATCTGGCTCGCGTCGTTCGTATGGATGGCTTTAGAGGGAGTCATGCTGTATTTGATGCTGGTAAAGGTGTTCGGTTCAAAGACCCTGACTCAAAGGAAACGTATTATCTTTCTAACAATAGGATGGTGTAAGTAGGAAAACCCCAAAATATATTATTTGTTTATTGAATGATTTTTGACAACTAAAGGTGCGCAAGGCTCGACAGTTTTCTGCCAAACGGGTTGCMTGTGTATAGCGATCCCTCAAATCTAAATCCCTTCGTGGCTACATCCATATACAAGCATCCCACCTTAAGAGAGGTTGCTGTAAGGCCATCAATATGGGTTGACTGTGTGGAGATCAGTCATGAATTTTGGATAGATTGCGTTAAATTAAGTTTTTTTTCCTATACACAGGGCACCCACCCGGGAAAAATTGCGAAAATTAGTTGCTCATGCATTTATTCATCTTTGTGTGACTCGATTAAGTTTGATAGAGGCAAATGATTAGTATTGATATTATATATGTTTGGTTTAGGTTTACCGTTGATTGCCGTGGCTGTATCAGCTGGTTTGAATCCCCACGGTTATGGCACAAAATACTAGTGAGTATAGCACAGTAGAACCATATCTTCTATCTGCCACAGGATCATCATAATCATCATCATAATCATCATAATCATCATCATAATCATCATAATCATCACCACCAACATCATCATTATCATCACCATCATCATCAATATCATTACCGTCATCATCATCATCAACTACTATCATCATCATCGTCGTCATTATCATCATCATCATCACCACCATTATCATCATCAACAACATCATCATCATCATCATAGCGCCGACACCACCTTCGTCCAGTGTCCTCTGTCCTGGGCGAATCGCATTACCTAATTAAGGGTTCCCGTGCATCTACAGAATATGTAAAAAAACCCAACCAAATCCTTATTTTTTCTCATTATTCACAGTTGCTGGCTGTCCATGGATCATGGTTTCATTTGGGCTTTTGTTGGTCCAGCACTACTTGTAATCGCTGTAAGTTATTCCTATTATAGTGACGCAACTCTAATACTGAAGGCTGATTTCCTAACGAACATGAGCATGCGCAGTGAAAAATCGTCTGCAKTAACATCGACGCTCAATAGCGACGTGAATTGATTGTGAAAAGTGCGCTTTCCATTATCGATAGCAGGAATGCAAGACAAATGTACGTTATTTTTGTGTTCTGTGATATTAGATATAGTAGTTCATTCCAGTCTTGTAGTCTTTTTGAGAGAGAGCGCCACGCTTTATAAAATACCTTTTTTGACTTTTTTTATACACTTACTTGAAAGAACGTTGTCATACGAAAATAGAACATTAGTAATTTAGTGGGATAGGAATTATATTAAAAAACAAAAGAAGATCACTGAAGCTGAACTTTTTCTTTTGTCTTTTAATGTATTCCTTTCTCGCTAAATTACTAATGTTCTAATATCGTATGACAACGTTCTTGCAAGTAAGGATATATGTATATGTCCTGACAAATGACAAGGTTACATATTCACTAGACATAGTCCAAGATACCAGTACGTTCATCGTATCCCTTTGTTTCTTATTGAACTATTCCCTTTGGATTCTAGTTTAACTTTGTAATCATGGGAGTAACCTTTAGTGTGATGGCAAGACGAACAGGCCATCGACGAAAACCAAACAAGATACGAAGAATAAGGTACTATAACATTTCCAATGGGGTTCCTGTGGTTTGACTGGCACATGAAGCCCAGACAAGAATGTAATTTAGTTCTCCTCGCGCTCGAAGGCGCATGAGACCTTAATGACTGTAACTACGAAAACTATTATAAAAATTGTTGTCTAAGATCGTTTATTTCTATATCAGATATTGGGCCAAAGCTTGTACGCTCTTGACGTGTATTCTTGGACTGACCTGGCTCTTTGGCGTCTTCTACATTAACAACGAAACCATCTTTATGGCTTACTTCTTTACCATATTTAACTCATTACAAGTAAGTCAAATGTTAAAGTATTTTACAGTTATAGAAAGAGGTAGGACGCCTGAATGTAGTTGCTTTATTTCATTAGTTACGGAACTAATGGTAAAATCGTTTCTTATTTTCAGGGTGTATTTATATTCCTTTTCCATTGCGTTGGAGATGAAAAGGTAAATGCAGGGGCGTTTTATAGATATATCTCGAGGGACAATGTACTATTTTACCGCTATAACCACAGGGGGGCACGTTGGCACGTGCTAGTGACGTAATGTGTTAATTTGGCATCTTAAAAGGTGCGCATTGTACACATTGGTTTATCTAATACCTGGAGACATTTTGTGGAGAGGGGCAATATGGGTAGGATAGTGGCGCGCGAAAAAACCACTTGAATTTAGAAAACGCAAACAAGGAACTCAACCATCTCTTATACTACGTTTAGCGCAGAGACAGAAAGTCGAAGTAAAACTATAGCGAACACCCGTGCCTTCTGGAAAACAGGACCCAGATCATACATGGTATTAATGGGTTGCAAGCATTCAAGAGTCAAAATACAAAAACATGGCGGCCATCTTGGTACCGTTAACAATTGGTGCTAATGAGAAATCTTTTGTTWAATGGTACCCACATGGCCGCGATGACGTAACGTGCAATGCCAAGTCATCTTTACTTTTCCTTTACTTTTTTTGATACACTAGCAATGGCAATATTCTAAATAGATTTATATTCTCGTTGTTTTAGATCCGCCGTGAATACATTCGTATCATATGTTGCCGAGTCAAAGGACCTGCTTACACCATGGCATCCAAAAGTCACAAGTTACACTCGAGTGGAGAAAAGATAATTAAAACGTTAGATAACGCAGACTCGAAAATCTTAAACTACAATACTGTTTCAACGGTAAAATGTTCAAATCCTGTATTATTTTGATTGCATTTTCGATTCTTGTTTAATAATAAATTTTAATTTTACTCAATCAGGGCACGACCAGTTCAGATAGTCAAAGAACAGTACTTGTAATGTTCCAAAAGCGCTCCTCATTGGGTAAGTCGTACAACGAATTGATATCATTAATTTATCTTCACAAAGACGCGCACACGTAAAATGACATCTTGTCGCGCTGCGGACCGCTCCAATATGGACAACTGCGAGCTTCACTTTCCATTCTCGATTTTTTTWATTCTAATTTGTCGCGATTTTTTTTAAAAACAGGGCAACGCAGTTCCTTAAATCGCGGTGACAGTGAAAGCATAAGCAGCCAGCGAATAAGCGGAGAAGTCATCAACAACCCACGTGATAGTTTGGCTAGTTTTTCCAGTTTCAAACTACAGGTATTTGCTCCTCAAAATACGCCATATATTTGCGCACTATTTCAAGATGGTTTTATTAAGCGTTAGGTACGCTATTGCGCACTGAAAGATCATAATATAACGACATTAAGAATGCCCTGTATCATCGTGCAATCTCTGACCATAGTCTTATAACCAATAAAACTGTGTTATGTTATTGCGCATTGAGTTTGTTCCGGTGTAATAATGATAATTACAATGTATAGTATCATTGTGCAATATTTGGACATTTTTTTGCCCATAAAATTGTGTTGTGTCATTGCGCACCTATTTACCATAGTAAAAATACAAAATACAAAAACATTTTAAGTGAATACCATATATCCGTGAAAAACTTTGAAAAAAATGCAAGAATTAGTAAGTTCTGTAGCCCTCAGTAGACCGTAGACCTACAAAACTTTGCACTAATTTGTCGAATAAATTTTGTTAGTTAAGTCTTTCACGAATATATGGTATGTTTTCTATCAAGTATATTTGGGCACAGCTTTTACATGAACAATGTGCCATTTTTTACCTCAGAACCGCAACAGTGGACGATACTCTCTGGTTTCACGTGAAGCTGACGCACATGAGCACCAGCCTGTAGGAGATCTCAGTATTGTTGAAGAAGTCTCATCGACAGTACACGACGCTGTTGCAGAAGAAGATGCGTCCAAAGCTTAAGATCCCTAGAAAGCTAATAAACCATATCGTGGATATTTTTAACGAATACATAATACCAAAATATATATCAAGATTATAATAATACGATATAGAAATATATAGCTTCCAAATAGATGTCGTTAAGACAGTAATGGTGGCCATGAAGTCACGGTAGTAGAGTGAAGCTCCGTGACATGTCGCAGCTGTACCCGTCGCGTGACAGAAATTCCAAGAGATATCACACGTGACAAATTTCTTTGCAACAAAAGTATAATCAATAGCTACTTTGAAATGCATAAACAATTAAAAACTAGCGGACTCCATTATCAAGGCTCTAAGATTACATTATTCTGCGAGTTGTTCACTATGTAACAATAGTAAAAATCAAGGAAAGCTAGCCACCACGACATTGCAGACTTCTAGACAGCGGTACTATCCAAAAGTCGCCATTTCTTCGGCTGGGAACATAATGCCATTATAAGCAATGTTACAAAAAGTGTTGATTAAATATGCTGTGCGCAACGTTCCAGAAGTAGATCTCTTCTTTTAATAGCCTGTTAAATGCTGCGGTCAATAGTTTATAGCATTGGATATAAGAGTACAATATATCGCCCAGATTACCGTTAGCATTATTTATTGTAGTTTGTGTGCGCGGTAAACTCATTATGGACTTTAACAGTCTTCCATTTCATATCATGCGTTATCTTTCCTAAACATTTCATACTACACATAAAAAATATAGTTAACATATATTAACATACAGTTTATTAAAAGTGTCGCAAAATGTATTGCATGGACCTTTATACCCGATAAAGAATACTAATGAGGATGAGATCTTTATATAAAGATTTGGTTACCATTTCCCATTCTTTCATTCCCTTTATTTCCTTTTTCTCTTTCTCGCATCTGTAAAGCCTCGTTCTCCCTAGTGTCGCAAGCCGACTCAAGCAGAAGCACAAACTAAAGCGCAAGCCAGCGCGCGAAAAGCAAAAAATCTTACGTCCTCTTGTGCTTGCGTCTCCTTTTTTCTTAGCGAGAGCTTGGAGCTGCGTATCACTTCTAGACCAATCAGAGCGCTGGAAATAGTCAACGTGACCGTTTGTTTCCTATCCAATCCTTTACTAGTATGATCTATGATGAAATTGAAATGAACTAAATGATATTTATTATTAAGAAACTTATAGATTATTAGATTTAAACATAGTTTAAGTCTCAGACTTCTTAATGTTGGGGTTCCTGTGTTACTAGGTTCCAGGCCACCTTGGACGTGTAATGGCGWCTCAGTGTCCCGGATGTAAGCTAGAGGCATCAAAAAACATCCGTTAATATGGCGGCGAACATTTGAAAAAAGAAAAGAAAAGAAAAGAAAAATCCACGTGGAACCATCAAAATATAACACATTTAGCTATCGTTTGAATATACTACAAGTTAATGAACAGCTGCTGTTGCTTAGGGGATGAAAAAAGGTTGAAAAAGGACGCACAATTTTCATTGAATTGAACTTGAATACAAGGATACACGACGTTTGGTAGAAAGTTTGGTTCCGGTTTTCTCAAATTCATCGACAAAGGACTCCAAAGAACAAAGAATTTCAGCCTTTTTCTTCAAAGTATACTTGTTTACTTCATCATACGTCGTTTTACAGTAGCTACAGCGGCTGGCAGAGTTGATATCGTGAAATATTGTCAACGAAACAGGAACTACAACAACAACAAAATATTTTTTTTGTTTATACTTGTAAAAAGCAGCTGATTTCGTCGAACCAGAAAACGTATTTTTATTTCGACTGGATCATTTTCTTGTGGCTCAAGATCAAAACTTTTAGATTCTTATAAGACATCAAAACAGCTGTGGTATTAGTATTGAAGTCTACAGGGCTGGTTTACTTCAACTCGATCTTCTGCTACTGATAACAATTAGTTTTTTTAACTCAATTTAGAATCATAAGGAAGTAATAATATCAAGAATTTAAATTTTGCTCCAGTGTGTATTATTTGGAAGCTTATAGAGAAACATTTATAATATATATTATTAAAAATAAGAATTCGAGGTACAATGGATCCAGAGTATGAAAGACGACTTCTGAGGAGCCCAGGAGTTTCTCCCTTAGCATCAGTAAGTGTTTAGTACTTTCTTTTAAAATGTATGGATTTTCTAAAAATGTTGATAATACTGTGTCTAAATGTTGTTATGGCCCATCAAAACTTCAAGAGAAAGACTTCACTGTTTTGATTGGCATTTTGATCATTTTCTGTATAAAGTCTCATATATTATCCAAAATCTATTTTAAGACATTTTGTTAACGTTCATTATTCAATACAATGTGGTAATACTGATTGATGTTAACTATACTTTTCCTATATAGCCATTAGCTGTTCGACGGATCAATTCCAGTCCAGGAATCTCTCCCGCTAAGGACAGATATGGAGACAGGTATGTGTTGTTGTTTGCTACACATTCCCTGAGTCAATTGTCATCTTCATGTATATTCACAAACTCTACTCACACATGATGCTGAATCCAGGAATCAAACCCTACACCACCTTTCACATCCTCTCAGTAAAGGTTTTTTAGGAATGGACACATTTTGCAAGTATGATAAGGATGGTTGCATGTGTCAATGTCTATGGCTTTGCACTTATGTAGCAGAAAGTAGGAATGAGTTAAACTACAATTGATCTTTCAGATCCTCATGGTACTAAAGCTGAGTGCAAGTACATCATGTGTCCAAACCTTTAATGATCTATAGCACTTTTAAGTTATGACATATTTCCGGGTCCAATCACACAAAAGTTCCCTATAATATTGCCACGACTTATTCCCAGGATTTATTCTCTACCTTCAACAATTAGATATATGAACAGAAAACCCTGCTATGAAGGGGGGAAAACACACAGAAAAATGTCTGTGGAAATAATTATTGATTTGGACCCAAAAGTCATTTTTCATTCAAATTACTTCACACTTAACAGCTCTATACAAGTTCATATTTTGTCGTTGTTGATTAACAGATTCATCCCAAGCCGTGCTGGATCCTTATGGAAGGGGAATATTAACTTTGTTCAAGAAAATAGTGATCCAAGTTCTAAAAGTTTATCTAGCATAACCAAAGAAGCTGGAGGGGACATCAAAGGTATTAAGTCCTACACTTATTTAGCCTTATAAAACCTGTTAGGCTTTCCGCCCACCCTGAAGTGGTTAATCTAGTTGCTGGGAGCATGCCGCAGAGAGTCAAAAGACAAAAATATGGTGGCCATCTTGATGCAGTTAACAATGGATGCTAATAAGAAATCTTTTGTTAAATAGCTCCAACATTGCTGAGATAGCATAACAGGCAATCAAAGAATTAGATATGACTCTGAGAAATAACTATATTTCAAGAGAAGGTATCCTTTGGCCTCTGTTTTTCAAATTTCCAATGGTCTGAGTTACTATCTYTTTGAATATGGGCTGGGATATTTTATTGTATTCAATGCCATGCCATTACTTTTATTGACAGTCCTTTGTCATGGTATTTATTCTTATTGGACAAACAAGAAACACACTTACTTTTTTATTTTATTTTTATTTTTAGAGGGTATTGCTTATCAATGTCTATTGAAAAATGAATTACTGGGTGCTGGGATAGAGGATCTAAAGGTGAGAAAATGATATAAAAGGGCACCCATGTCATAGACAAGAAGAGTACAATGATTGTGCTTGACAAGAGATTACATATCCCTAAGAACAAAATTTCTATGATGTTATCCTATGAGACGTCTAACCGTCTAAGCACTCTACACAAATGAAGAAGAAAAATTTTCATGCTAAAGAATTCCTATTCATAACAACAATCATTTCTAGCTCAACGTTACTGGTCAAAATGATTTGACTGGACAAGTTCCAATTCTGGACAGACATTGTCCAATTACCAGCTGTTATTTTAAGCCCTGCATATTATACTTCTCTCACCTTTCTTTCATACAATTTATAATCTCAATTTTTTAACCCCAGGACTGTCAAACAGAGGATCGTAAAGTTCTATCAAGCAACAGTAACTATGTACATAATGTTTTCCAGGTAAGAGAAATCAATATGGGTGCTGTATATGCTTTGTTGAAGTGTGTTCGATACTTTAAATGTGTGTTTCTTGTTCTTACTGATTAAAGTATTGTATTTTTACTAGTATCAAGTAAGAAGAAGCCAGAAAGAAGAGGCTCAGTCATCATCTGCATACTCTCTTTCTCCTGTAGGAAAGAAAAGGTATTTRAACATAAGCACCATTACTATTATTATATTATATTGAGCTCAGGAATCAAACCTGGGGATCATTGGTGAGAACTACATGTACTATAGGCAGGGCATTAGTGGCTCACACCACTCACTCTTCCATTTCATTGTTTTTAACTCATTTGTGATCTTGTTTTTCAGTCAACGACTTCTAAGATCACCAAGAAAGGTAGCTAATAAACACATCACATTAATCAAATAACTGTTGTACAAGTGTCTGGTTTGCATTTTTTTATTATGTTTTCTAAAAATTTGTCCAATTTTTCTTCATAGTCCACCAGAAAAATATCCAAGATTCCCTTCAAAGTACTTGATGCACCTGATCTGGTGGTAAGAAGAAGAATATTTTGTAAAAAATGACTTTAATTAAACTTCACAGAAGAGCCCTGTACGGAGAGTGGTTGTAAAATTTATATGCAGCTATTTCAAAAAAGGTTGAATACTGCATACTGAATAGTGCATTCCAAGATCAAAGTGCATTGTGGGTCTCATTAATTTGAAATAAAAAGTAATTATACAGCAATTAACTTTCTACATGTAGTTAGTATATTGTTTCAGATGGAATACACTAAAAATAGAATAATAATTAACTTTGTTTATAGAGGATAACACCTGACAGTAATTCAACTGATAAACTTGTGGTCCTCTGTTAACGTCTCTAGTTAATTAGGGATGGGACCACCATTAAAGTGATCATCCGAGCCATGTGAAGGTCTAACCATTTGCAGATGTAATTACAAAGGCAGCACCTTCTCCTCAGTTTTTTTAAGACCCTGAGTGTTGGTCCGGCCGAGGCTTGAACCACGATCTCCCRCACAACAGACCGACACTCTTACCAACTGAGCTAACCGGGTGGTTAGAATAAATAATWATTATTAATCCTACTTTAGACAATGTCACTATGACCCACAATGCACTTTGGTCTTGGAATGCTCTATTCAGTATGCAGTATTCAGTATTCAACCTTTTTTGAAATAGCTGTATATCAATATATGACTTGGTCTGAAATAGGAAAATATGCTGTCAAAGCTAAAGAGGTCTATTTACTAAAGTTAGTATTGATAAAGAATTATTTATTATGAATATTTGCAGGATGATTTCTACCTTAATTTGGTGGACTGGTCATCTCAGAATATTCTTAGTGTTGGTCTTGGTACTTGTGTCTATTTATGGAGTGCGTGTACAAGTCAGGTATGTCATTGATAAACCAGGTTTTGTAAGATTGAAAAATCTTGTTATCAAATCAATGTGGTAGTGATGGTACTTGCACTTGCCTCTCATCTCTGGGGTCTTAGGATTGATTCCTGGAGTCTTAGCATCACATGCAAGAAGAGTTTGTTACTAGTAGTTCTCTCCCTTGATTCAATAATTTTTCTCCAGGTTCTTCATTTTTCCTCACTTTTCTAAAGCTAACAATTTGGTATGCGAGTTAGCCACATGCCCTGACTTAGATCAGCCCAGAGGTTGTTTCAGGGTGTGTTCTGTGAGTTAGCCGTGCCCTGACTTAGATCAACCCAGAGGTTGTTTCAGGGTGTGTTCTGTGAGTTAGCCNGTGTGTTCTGTGAGTTAGCCGTGCCCTGACTTAGATCAACCCAGAGGTTGTTTCAGGGTGTGTTCTGTGAGTTAGCCGTGCCCTGACTTAGATCAGGCCAGAGTTTGTTTCAGGATGTGATCTGTGAGTTTGTCATGAGTAAAAGGTCTATTTTTCATTAAGAATATTCTATTTTCACTATATGGGATTGACATTCACATGTCTGATCTTTATTTGCTTATTTTTGTAGGTAACAAAGCTTTGTGATCTATCATCGGATGGTGATTCAGTAACATCTGTGTCATGGTCTGAAAGGGTAAGTATAAACACTAATGACCAACACCTTCAAAAAAGTATTAAATTGTCTCCACTTTTTAAGACAAATTATTTCTAAAAAGCATTAATATGTTTATTTTGTTGTTCTTTAGAGTGGTTTGGTAGCAGTTGGTACATACAAAGGTTTAGTTCAAATATGGGATGCGTCTGCTCAGAAAAGAGTGTCAACAATGGAAGGACATTCTGCCAGAGTTGGTCAGTATTTGGGAAATGTTAGAAACATTCTGAATCATTCTGAATAGTTTTCTGTAAAACATAAATGTGCAATGTTCACGAGGCTGGTTCTCTCATGCTCTACAGCTTCCTATCATGTTTATAGCACAGTGCTTATAATGCATGCACGTTCAGGTTTCCTAAATATAACGTCGACATTTTTACTATTTTATTGATGAAATGTAGGTGCATTGGCATGGAATGGTGACTTCTTATCATCTGGAAGTAGAGACAGACTTATCTTACAAAGAGATGTACGATCACCTTCAACTATAGAGGGACGACTTGTAGGGCACAGACAAGAGGTTAGTCCAGGTGTACAGTAACATAAGATGTACCATGGTGTATGTTGAAGTGAGGTATTACAAGCTTCCCCCTGAATCCATGAACCATTACCACTACCAACACCAACACCAACATTCACTTAACACTTGATTAAAGCTACAAACTGAGTGAATGAATTATCATTCACGCATATCAATAAATTATCATGTCATTATTCTATTTTAGGTGTGTGGATTGAAGTGGTCTCCTGATCGTCAGCACCTTGCRTCAGGTGGGAATGATAATAAATTATTAGTATGGAATCTATCTGGTGTAGCACCAGTACAACAGTATAGTGAACACACAGCAGCTGTCAAGGCTATATCTTGGTCACCTCATCAGGTAATAATCCCAAATTGTGTCACTGTTAGTAAGGATCTGGTCATAAAGTAAAGGGAGGGGTGGGGTGTAAAACTGAATTCGAAGAAGCTCTTTTTTTTTTGCTGGCCCAGTATAAACATGGTTGAAAAAATGATGGCCCCCTAAGTTTCCATGCAAGAAATAAAAACTACCCCAGTGGTAGTTTTCATGTCTTGTGAAGTAGTTCAACTGTCAAATCATTTTGTACCAGATTTGTAGCATTTTCCTAAAACRTTTTGTATTGATTTTGATTCATCCTTGATTATTCTTTAGCATGGACTGTTRGCTTCAGGTGGAGGTACCGCGGATAGATGTATTCGGTTCTGGAATACCCTAACTGGACAGCCTTTACAATGTGTAGATACTGGATCACAAGTAAGTATAATGGACGCATGACCTTGTTGTTTTGGGGTCAGGATTCTATAGGCTACTCAACAATATATTAGTACATGTAGTGGTAATGGAATTAAGGGGCTAGAGTACACCTGTACATCTTGATCTCCACGCCATGGGATTTGCACATCATAAAACATTATCCTCTTTATTACATTATTACACTTTTCCATTTTCAAGAATTGAAAATCAACTTCTAAATTCCAATCTGATAATGGAATGAGGGCTATAGGTTTGTTACCCACGGCTATTAAGTTCTTATTACCCTCTTAAACRAGGAACTTTTATTTTTTCAGTAATTTTTTAAATTTTTTTATTGTACTGATTAGGTGTGCATATTTTTTTTGTTTGTCTCTTATAATATTTCTTTCATTTTCATATCATTCTGTGCCATATTTATTTAATTAATTTTTAACTGACAGTTTATTTATTTTTTAGGTTTGTAATCTTGCTTGGTCAAAACATTCCAATGAATTAGTAAGTATTTTAAGAGATACCACCCGTACAATGAAAAGAAGTATTTTTTGGTATACATGATAACTATATAATTATTATATACTATCTAATAATTCAAAAATTATGTTATATTACTAGTCAGGCAATCTAACCACTGACCTACTGGGAACCTATAGAATCCACCAAGGAAATTATACTTGAAGAAACATTTCTTATGTTTAATATTTACCAAAAACACCTTAATGATTATATTGTTTTACTTGTTTTCTTCAAGGTAAGCACTCATGGCTATTCTCAGAATCAGATCTTAGTATGGAAGTACCCTTCTCTTACACAAGTAGCCAAGCTAACTGGACACTCCTACAGAGTGCTATACCTTGTAAGTTGCAGTACAAAAGTTCTCATTTTATCTAGCAGCGCTAAAAATAACGGCTGGTCATCGGCCAATTTTCAGCCAGAATTGGAACTTGTTTTATCAAATCTTTGCCTCACCACTCATTTTTACCAGTAACATTGAGACAGAAAGGTGAAATGGCTGAGCTAATTTGGCCAGTCATCATGACTGCTGTCTAACCAGCCTTTGATGGATTGGCCGATCTTTTCATCCATGGTCTTGCTCACTTTTTCTGGAACATTTGAATTCAGTTCATTGTTGAATCAGTTCGTGTTAATAGAATTGACATCAAGGTTGCATTCTTATCTTTTCACTCTTCCATTTTCTCATTCTTCCGCTTTTTCATTCTTCCATTTTGTCATTCCATTTTTTCATTATTCTATTTTTTCATTATTCTATTGTTTCATTCTTTCATTTTTTTTCATTCTTCCATTCATTTATCTGTTGTTTTTTTTGCAGGCTGTTTCACCAGATGGAGAGGCTATAGTAACTGGGGCGGGAGATGAAACCCTTCGGTTCTGGAATGTATTTAGCAAGGCTAGATCACAAAAGGTAAGTAAAAAAGTGCACTTATTAGTAGTAAAAAGGTCTTGATARAGAGATAAGAATAGTACTAACCAATATGCAGTCCATACTCATGAATAGAACCCCTTTACAGCTAATTTCATAAACATGCGACCTCAGTGCTCTTGAGTTGCACATTGAAATTTGKTTTTTTGCTGCCGCCAGTCAAAAATATGAAAGGTACCGACTGATGAGGTTTGATTGATGGCAGCGAAAAACTACATTTCAGCATGCAACTCAAGAGCACCRAGGTCGCATGTTTAATAAAATAGCTGTAATGTACAAAGTATAATTGTTTTACCTTTCAATGCAAACTCATTTCTCCTTCTTTTCTTTTAGGAATCTAAGTCTGAACTCAACCTTTTCTCAAGAATTCGATGATACCATAGTCACCCTAAAGTAATCCTAACAAGTCATACCCGAAACATTTCCTTATCAACCAGAGAAATATTCTGAATAACCCAATAGAAAAGTCTTTCTTTGTACATATATGTTCATGTTATTCTTAGATTTAAAGACTGAGAATTACCATTGCTTTCATTATGACCTGCTGATGGAAACAAAAAGTGCAGCAGGTAAATGGGCAATAGACTGTCGTATATTGGGGTGTTCTCTTCCTTTAGTAGACCAAATCAAGCTTCCTTTTATTCCAAAGAGTTTCATTCCATATCTATGTAATATTGAAGAAAAAAACACAAACCTTTGGATCCCTAAAGATTTGGTTGAAACGTAGATACTGTRATAATGTAAGCTGATTTGGTTTATTCTTGGAACATCAACAATACCATAGTTATGAATAGGACACAAACTCTAAGATACCACATAGGATATAATATTGAATGAATTATTAGAATATAGAAATGTGTATAACAAACCTACTGTATAATACAAATGTGAAAAGCAAAAATAAAATATCTTATTCAATTGAAATCAAGTCTACACTCTTACACCATCAAAGGGCTCATTTTTAGCCAAAACGCATGGACTATAGCCCATGGTTTTGATCGATTTTGGGCGTTTTTCACACCTTTTCAAAAAATATGAATTATTTATGAAACTTGAAAAATGGGTGTTTTTGGCCAAAGAGCATGGACTATAGCCCATGGTTTTGATCGATTTTGGGTGTTTTTCACACCTTTTTAAAAAACATGCATTATTCATAAAATGTTTAAAGTGGGTCATTTTTGGCCAAAAAGCATGGACTATAGCCCATAACTTATCGAAATCAGGAAAAAAAAGCCGTCCTGAGGAGGCGACTTAAGAGATCGATATCACAAGAACCAGCCGTTATTACGAAAGTTTCCCGCCAAAATTCAAATCCAAATCAAGAAGATAATCCTATTCGGCCTGACAGTTACCATAACTGCTCTAACCTTATTCAATCCTCAGTAAATAACCTACGACAGGAGCTGCAGCAGCAATTACAAGAAATCAATACTGAAGTTTCAAGGTTAAGAGAGGAATATAACAGTCACAGGAGTCCAAGTRATCTCGTAAGTGAAAACAGAGAACTCAGAGAGAAAGTTTTATTGCTTGAAAGGGAAAACCAGAAAGTCCATGAAGACAACAGGGCCCTGTTAACCACAATACGTTTACTTAATCTTGAAAAAGAAGAGGGTTTACAAGCAAAACCAATACCTAAAATTGTTATTGATGAGGAAAACAAGCCGAATTTGCATAAACCACCAAGTATTTCCTCCAGGGAATCCTCTG